TCTCCTTTCCCCCCCTCATAGTTCTCCTTTAAATACCCTCCCAGAGCAGCACCAGGTGACGGCCAATTGCTGGCAGACGCCTGCAGGCGAGCACTGGAACTGCAGGATCAGGTTCCAGCTCCACAGCACCACCTGGAGGGGCTCTGGTCCCTGACAGTAGAAGAGACTTTGTGACATGGGAGTTCCATCATCCCGGCCAATGAAGGTGGCAGAAGACTCCAGACCTGGTGAAGACGGAAGCAGCGGCTTTGGACCAACAAGGGGGAGCACGGACATGGCACTGCTGGAGCTAGTCTGCTATAATGTGATGCGGCGCTCCCACATATAGAAGGAGCTGCTGGGGATGGAGATCTGTCCTGCTGCAGTTCTGATGAAACGCGGCGCAGAGCATCGCGCGGCACAGAGCATCGCGCGGCACAGAGCTCTAATTCATCCCAAAGGTGTTCTATGGGGTTGAGGTCAGGACTCTGTGCGGCCAGTCACGTTCCTCCCCCCTCCCCCATCCATGTCTTTATGGACCTTGCTTTGTGCACTGGTGCGCGGTCATGTTGGAACAGGAAGGGGCCGTCCCCAAACTCCTCCCACAAAGTTTGGAGCATGAAATTGTCCAAAAGGCCGCATGGAGTTTGGAGGTCTGTAGCTATTGGCTCTGCAGACAGTTGGCGACTTCTGCGCACTGTGCGCTTCAGCATGCGCTGACCCCGCTCTGTCATGTGACGTGACCGACCACTTCCTGGCTGAGTTGCTGTTGTTCCCGGTTGCTTCCACTTTGTTATAATCCCAGGAACACCTGAATCACATGATTTGGAGGGGGAGGGGCCAATGCTTTTGGCAATATAGTGTATGTCTGTATTGGATGGACGCACGCCGTACAATCCCCGGGGCAACGCTCCAGTATTAGGTGCAATACCTGCCACACCACTCCTCGCTTCCACAGATACAAAGCACGCGCTCTTCGGCCATGCGCGTGATCAATGCGGGTACGTTGTGCACACCTCTGTATCGGTTATCTGCCATCAAGAATGAAAGACAAGACGGGACAATAGAGAAGAAATGGATGAACTCCGCCACATAGCGTATTTCGGAATAAAAAAAAAACTCATCGACTCCAATATAAATGTAGACATGTGCCATTCGTTTCGTTACGAATCGAAATTCGTAGGAATCCCGAATTGCAGTTTCCGAATTATATCCGAAATGCGAAATTCCGTTGACGTATTTGCGTTCCGTTACGAACATTCGTTATATTGAAGGTAAAAAGCAAAGTACATTTATATTGGAGTCGATGAGTTTTTTTTTAAGTCCGAAATACGAATTCCGTTAACAGATTCCGGATCCGAATTTCGTATTTCCTGCCTGTGTATTGTGATGCGACTCTCAGCAGCGGCGGATCCGGATTTCGTATTTAAAAAAAAATCTTGTCATGTTGTTCCTCATTTACAGGGGTAATACTAGTTCCCGATTCAAAGAAATTCGGATCCAAAATCCGTTAACGGAATTTCGTATTTCGGATGTAATTCGGAAACTGCAATTGGGATGCTTCCAAATCTACGAATTTCAGGAAAATTCAACGAATTTCCATTCGTAACGAAACGAAATCGCACATGTCTAGCCCTCGGGCTGCCCATGTATATAATAACACTCACGTAGTAGTAGTGAGGTACTGTAGAAGACAAATGTCCTCCTGTCAGGTGTCCTCAGAACCAACGTCCTCCTCAGAACCTCTGTCTGGGGTTCTTATTTAAGTTTTCTGCCCTGGGGCTCTTTCAGTGGCGGCTTCCATCGCAGCCTCGTCACTCAGGCCTCCTGTGACAGC